TATTTATTTATTTATCTATTTATTTATTTATATATCTATTTATTTATTTATTTATTTATTTATTTACATCCATATTTAAACTATTTCCAAGAACACTCAAAACACAGTCAAAGACATAAGTGTAATGCCAACTGCAGAGGAGTATCCCAAGTGCCTTTGCACGCTTATTATTCTTTTCTTTGGCTTTCCCTGGTTTATGTGAATCTTTTGGTAATAACGATACTTCTATCACTAATATTACTAATACTAAGGTGTGGCTTTAGCATTTGAGGAAGATATGTTAGACTAATTTGGCAAATAAAAGTAGCCAGTTGTAGGATCTGCACTGAACTTGAAAGTACTGCAAAAGTATCTTTAAATCTCTTGAAGAATTTAGAAAAATATATATCGCTAAAAGGTATAAAATACACTCTACTTCAGTATGATTGATATTTCAATTTCGAAAATAATTGGGATACTACGCGCGCTATGTTTGGTCGAAAACCATGTTTGATGAGAGTATCAAAACACGCTATCGTCATTTTTAATCTATCGCGCGCGCTCATTGGTCAGTTTGAATAAGACTGCACGTAGGAAGAATTTACTTAGACTTTGCTTTTTTTCGATCTTTTCGCGCGTTTGTTATTTTATAAAACAAATCAAAAACAGTTTTCTGTGTTTGATACTCTGATCAAAACACTTGGGATGTTGGGATAACACTCGAGAAGCTGGAAACCACTCCGCTACGCGTCGTGGTTTCCTACGCTCCTCTCGTGTTCTCCCAACATCCCGCGTGTGTTGATCAGAGTATCAAACACGGAAAACTGTTTTTGATCTGTTAATTCGAAAATATTAATTTTAGATGTTTAAATAAAAAAAGTTACTATATCTCACTCGCGATGTATTCTGGGATACTATTGGGTCCTCGTCGGGCCATACCGTAGAAATCCCGATTACGACATCTCCTGGTCATAAGTCCACGAGCAAATTCTTATCGATGTTGCCGCTGGTTTCGAGTTGCGCAGTTTTGACGCAGTCTGAACGAATAACATCTTCGCCTGTCTTAAAGACCCGTTTCATTAATTTTAATTAAAAATCAGCTTGTTTGGCTGAAAATCGTGCAAAATTAAAAAACGTAATAAATTGAAAAGCAATACCTTTCTCTTCAGCGACTTTAAACTTGTTAAAAGAATCATTTAAAAAAAAATTGCCTTCTTTATTGATTATTTCAAGATAATTGTGAAATATTTTGTGTAGATTGAAGACAACATCAAAAAGGACATATTGAAGGCCATTAAAGAGTATCCCGGCAAAGACAAAGATGCCTTGGATGACATGCAGAGGGAAGTAAGTATTACTTAATTTTACTGGAGTATGATTTCCTCTCTCGTGCGGCCGAATGTTACTGAAAAATATACTTATACTTTACTTTATCTCCCCATACGCCATACACTGCGTGACAGCAAAAGGTGGTCAGTGTTTGCCCGCCTAAAGCAAATAATGAGATGCAAATACTTTGATCAACTGTTTGAAACCCAGCAATTCATGAATTTAGGAAATGTCACGTCATTCTCTAGAGTATTATATCTTTGTTTAAAGGTTGAGAAGACACATGAATATGGATACAACTCAAACAAAAAATAAGATTTCTGAGATAGCGAACATGGTGCATTGTGGTCTAGCTTGGGCGAATACATCATGCTTTATATGGTGTTGTTCGTACCCACTATATACCACAATGCACACCGTGTTTGTCGAAGTGAAAAAGTTCTAAACTGATGTGATCTAAAATGAGAACACATTACGTCCCAGTTTAAGAGGTCTATCGGGGAAAAAATGAAAATGACATAATATAGGAATAGCAATATTACTTTTTCTCTTTCGGCAATGATACAGCTGTATTTGATTTCGACAGTAGACTCATTTGTACAGGCTTAGCCTCGTTTATAAGTAAGCTTCCGTGGGGATTTCAAAACATTGGTATTGTTCAAGCTGCACGCCCTTTACATTACAGTTGACTTTTGTGAATGGTTTGCCCTTGGACGAGGCTAAAAATAATGAACGAACGAACGAACGAAAGCTAACGAACAAATGAACTTTAATTCAAGAGGGTAACACACGACAGTTGTAATTTTTTTTTTTAAATCATACTGATAACCCAGTGGCCCTCAAAAAAAAAAAAAAAAATTTTAATTCAAGAGGGTAACACACGACAGTTGTAATTTTTTTTTTTAAATCATACTGATAACCCAGTGGCCCTCAAAAAAAAAAAAAGAATATTATAACAATAAATGA